CCGCCGGCCCCGGGCGCTCGATGGCCTTCACTGGCAACATCATCAAGGCGCGGCCCCAGGCCAACCCCCTGCTACGCCTCTTCGTCGCGTGAGCCGCGCCCTCGCCCGGCCGCCTGGCCCCCCTGCACTGCGCGCTGTTGCACCCACACCCGCCTTGGCAGCAGCGGTGGAGGCCCTCACGCAGCTCCTCGGCCCCCCTGCAACCCGGCCTTGGTGCCACGCAGCAGACCTAACGCCCGCACGCACCCAATTGCATGCTTTGCCCGCAGGCTGTTCGCCAAGCCGCCAACCTGGAAGAATTGCGTAACGTGCGCAGGCTTCAGGCTTGCCTTACGCGGGCTGCACAACGGGATTGGACCCTTTGCTAAAGGCGTGCCGCTTGCTGTTTGGAATACTGCAGCTCTTTATAGACCCATTTGCAGCCCTACTCATTGCCGGCAAACCACCCCTGCACAGGTACAACAAGCTTTTTGACCAGGACAGCCCTTTCTTGTACTCTCAGGTGCTTCGCCGTCGCACGTGGCGCCCCGCCCACTTGACCTGTGCGGGTTGTGTCACCCGCGCTGAGTAGTAGCGAAAGCCACTTGACCTGTGCCACAAGCCCCACCTGCATGCGCAGTGTCGCAAGTGCCTCGCACCTCATCGCTTGTCGTTATACGCTTGACCGGATAGCAAGCACCCCGCAACTGCGTCTGGGACGCTTGCACCCCCACTGACGCGCACCCCTGCGCAATGGCTGCTGTGCGCGTGCGCTCATCCTCAGGACCTGACGCTGCGCAAGCTGGGTGGTGGCAGGGCGTGGGCCAAGTCCTACTACATGCCAGTCACCTGCGACCGCATGATTGTGGCGCGTGAGTACCGCGACACACTGCCCCTTGACACCTGGCGCCTCCTCGCCCCCGCCCGCCTGATCAAAGGCATCACCTTTGCCACTCCTGTCACCCTCCACCTCGCACCACTGTGCCTGGCCAATGCCGCCCTTGCTCCCCTCCCCCAACCCTGCTCAAGCCTGCGCTCTCATCACGCCTGCCTCCCTGCAGTCCGTGCGTGGATCGACAAGGTGGGCGGCCCCAAGTGGGACGACCGCGCCGACCCGCCCGCCCAGCGCCTGACGCGGCGCCAAATCAACGACCGGTGGGGCCAGCACTCGCGCGAGTGCACCGCCTGCCAGGCGGCAGTCGCCAACCTGAGGCGCCAGGCCGCGGCGTTCGCCGGCGCCGCCGCCGCGCTCGTCGCCGCGCTCGCCGGCGCCGCAGCCTCCGCGGGGCTGCCGCGCCTGCTGTCCGGCGGCGCGCCCGCGGCGCTGGGTGCTGGTGCGCTGGCGGGCGCGGCGATCGCGGCGGCGGCGGCGTTGCGGGCGTGGCGGATGCTGGCGCAATTTGAGTATGTTGAGTACTTTGCTGCAGACAACAACTAAATTGAGGATGATCGCATAGCTTGTGCCTATGTCTGGGGTGCTGTCTGAGGCGAAGGCCCCATTGTTGCTTTTGGCAATGCAATGGGGCGCTGCGCTCTGTACTTGTATGATCTGACACAACAACCCCTGGAAATGGTGCCCCTGAAACGGCGGGGCCGGTGCAAAGTGTCTGGCTGCAAGGCGCTGTTGTTGTAGCGCCCAATTTTTGAGGGCGAGGTGCGTTGGCTGCAGCGGGGCTGCGGTGCGTAGTGCCGTCAAACAGTTGTGGTGGTCCGACCGTTGCGCGCCGCCCCACTGGTGTCATCACAGTGGCTGGCTTTGGGCGAATTCTGGTCCTGGACAGATACCGGTCTTGCCCTTTGTATCGCCTTATGTATTCATGTAATTGGCTGCACGGTTTGGACGGGTGCTGGCTACTGCGCCAGCACCCATCTGTTTCCTCGACCTGCTGACGCCCGTGCTGGCAGGACACGGTGTGGCGGTTGCGAGGATGTGAGACGGCAACCTGATGGTCTGGGCGCATTCTGCTGGGATGGACAGCTTTGGCAAAGTTGGCGCGCACGCCATGATGTTCTTGCTTTCAGTCCAGTCACCTGCCCGTCTAGCGGGTTGGTTCGATTGCTTGCCATGTGGTCAGTGCGTAACCGAGGGGCATGTGACGTGGGTCTGGGCAACATGGCTGCTTTGAGAGAGTTTCTGTAACTACATATCCTGTTGTAAACTGCCTCCCAGTGCCCGCCCCGTTGATGATTGTGACAGTCCCACGGGTTCCCGCGCAAGTGCACGTCAATTTTGTGGCTCAATCGGTGTAAGGAGCTTTTAAAGCTCGTATTTATATCATTTCTTCACGTTGTAGACGCCTCTACCCAGGTAGGTAGGAGCAGCACGGTCCTGAAACGGGTGAAACAGCCATCGCGATTCGCAGCTTTGCGCGGCATGCCACAAGGGGGCGAGGCTATAGAAAGCAACGTTGTTTGTTCAGCACAGCACGTCGGCGTTTGATGTTCCAGCAAGGGGTGCGATGCCGCTGCCGCCGAGGCAGCTGGCCGGCGTGCATCAAATCAAGAACTGTGGGTGCAAACAAGTCAGCAACGCGCTTACCTATCCCTTACCACACCCATCTGCCTGATGAACCCCTGCGTGACAGCACTGGCTCAGCCCATGGCAACAGCGGTTGCCGCGCTGGGCGGCGGAGGTGTGTCGCCGCGGGCGGAGCCGTCCTCGCGGGGTACCGCCACAATGCTGCGATTTGCTGATGCAAACCGTCTACCCGAATCACACGCGAGCGTAGAGCCTTATCTCCAACCCGCATCCCCTGCATGACCTGCCATCACCCTCCGCGCCAACCCATGCACTCCCCCATGCAGCTCCCCCCGGCGGCCCCGCCGCCGCCGATGCAGCGCCCCTGATCCTCATCACCACTGTCGACATCGGGGATGGCAACTCAGACCTGATTGAGGTCCGCCAGGGGGACGACCCCATCGACCTGGCGCGCGCGTTTGTGCAGAAGCACGCGCTGCCGGCCGCCATCACCGAGGCGCTGGCGCAGCACCTGCGGGACAACCTGCGGGAGGCGGGGCAGCAGCAGCGGGGCGGCGGGGCGGAGGCGGACAGCGTGAGTACGGGGGGCGGATTCAGGGTCGTGGCCAGGGCAGGAGGGGCAGCGCGGCACCAGGCCGGTCGGAAAATGCTGCGTCGCTTCTGAGCTACAGTAGCTGGCGCCAAGGAGGTTGCGCACGCTTGGCAGAGTGTGGTTTGGCGCAACGCTGCTGGTCCCTCAACCGCTCAACGGTGTGTGCGACCCAAAATTGGCAGGTCGGCGGACTCGGCAGCGCCCGCAGCCACCGCGGCGGAGGCAACCTCTCCGCCCGCAGCGACGGCAGCCGTGCCAACGATGCCGAGTGAGCGGCCCAGAGCAACAGCCGCGCCCCGAAAACCGCGGGGCACGGCTTCAGTGTGCTTGGGGGCTGTCGGGTGTTCACGCATTTCTTGAGTTGAAGCGATGCATCGAGGTCGTAAATATGCCTGCGCATGGGCCTCTGTGGGCCCTGACCAAACATCGACCCCGCCCCCGCCCGCAGCGCTGCGGTGTTTGAGCGCCTGTATCACCAGGCGGTCGAGCTGCGCCAGAAGATCGAGGAGAAGAAGGCGCGCCTTGCCTTTGAGGAGGTGCGCGGCGGGAGGAGGATAGGGTCAAGGTCGTGCGCGCATGGGGCCGCACCAGTATCAAGCAGGCCTGAAGGTCATTGCGGCGTTGGTAGGTGCGGCTCCAACAAGCACGAATGGAGCGTATGCTGGCAAAGGCTTTTCTTTGTGCGACCGCTTACCCGCGTTGCGCAGGACGCGGCAGTGAGCAGCATGCGGTTCCAGCGCACCTGGATCAGCCAGGAGATGATGCGTGAGCGCACCAGCGGGCCCTATGGCAATTATGGGGAGATGCTGTACGCAGAGAGCGTGGAGGGCATAGCGCGCAAGACCCAAAAGGTGGGGTCAGGGGGGAGGGCGGGGCCTGTCAGAGGCCGCTGGGCCGGCGCGAGCGGAAGGACAGCAGCTGGAGATAATGTGTGTGTGTGTGTGCATGTGTGTGTGCGTGCGTGCGTGTATGCCTGTGTGGTTCTGGTTTTGAGATGGGCGAAACAAGCGAGCTACTTCCTTCATGCGCGTGTCTGGCATCACTCTTTAAGCAGCCAAGGACGCAGGGAGGTCTGCCATGCCAAGCCGGCGGAAACGAACCAACAGCCAGCTCGTGCCCTGCTGCTACCGTCGTGCCCCCCGCAGGCTGAGCGCCAGCGTGCCCAGCGCGCGGCCGCGGAGCTGCAGTCCGCCACCTTCAGCCCCGAGATTACGCGCCTGGCGCACCAGCTGCGCACCCGCAAGGAGGGCGCCGGCGTGCCCGCGTGGGAGCGCCTCAGCAAGGGTGCGCGGTCAAGACTCAAGGGACCGAAGCATGCGCAGCCAAGTGGGCACAACGGCAGTGGCAGTTGAAAGAACGCCGCCACTTGTCGGCTAACCCTGAAGACTGCGTGTGCCGTCACCTGGCACCAGACGCCGTGCAGAACGCGACAGAGCGAATGTACTGTGTGAAGACCTCCTGCAAAAGGTCACTCCAAATTGACAATCCCGCAGTGATGAAGACCAAGACGGCGGAGCGCATGGAGTCGCTGCGCAAGGAGCGGTCCGAGGCGGAGACCCGGGAGTGCACCTTCCGGCCGGTGCTGTGCAAGCGCAGCGACAAGCTCATGGCGGAGCGCACCGACACGTTCAGGACGCTCAACGTCAGCGCGCACCAGCAGCTGTACCAGGACTCGCTGCGCCGCCAGCAGAAGTGAGCCGCGCGGCGCAACGGGGAGCTGCGAGCCTTGGTGGTGGAGGGTTTGGATCCGTGAACTGCCATACCACCATGGCGCTCTCACACATGCTGGCAGCCCACCCCTCGAGAGCGACGCCCCAGATTGACAATTTCGCCCGGCCTTCTGCCGTCGGTGACTCGAGGCGGTTGAGGCCCAAGTGCCTGTTCTACACTTACGTATGTGTCACCTCATGCGATGCTCGGATCGCCGCCCCCAGGCAGGAGGCCTACTCCCACTGGTTCCCGGAGGACGTCACCTTCCAGCCCAAGCTCGTCGCGGCGCAGCGCCCCGCCGGAGCGCTGGGCGCGGGCGGTGCCGCGGGGGCGGGGGCGGGCGACAGCCAGGCGGCTCGGTTCGAGCACCTGTATGCCAGCTATGAGAAGGTGGGGTGCCCCACAGCTGCAGCTCGCCTGCCTTGCTTACCCCATCACCTGGTCTAGCCTTCATTTAGTTGCTCGCAAACTGGTGGTTCCCAATGACATGATGCTGCTGGCAAGTCTTCTGCCCACCTCAGCTCACCGGCTAGGCCCGGGCTGCGTCCACGCTTCCCACCCGCGACGCCTGCTGTTGGCCGCGCCTGCATCTCTCCCCCCGCTTCTCCCCTCCTTCGCTGACCGCAACCCCGCAGTTGCAATGCAAGCTTTCCGAGGCGCGCGCCAAGCTGGAGAGCCCAGTGGACCCCGTCACGGGGCGCGTCCTGCACAAGCCCCAGACCGGCCGCGGGCCGTCGTTCACGCGCCACGGCCCCGAGCAGGGCGTGGGGCAATACCTCCACGGCCTGCAGTCAGAGAGGGTGAGGGTCGACTCCTCAAACAATTCTGTATGTCTCTGTCGACGAGCCGGGGGCGGCGCGTCTGCCCCTCTTCAAAATGGTGTGTCGGTGCACGCAGGCGTGCAAGCAGGCCGGCCCTTGTTTCTCAGTCGCTCCCGCTTGCCCGCTGTGATGCCGCGGCAGCTGCACGCTGTTGAAATCAACCGCCACAGCTTTGAACGCACATGTATCTCGCATCGTTGAAGCTGGGAAGCTGACTACCTTACTTCCCAACAACCTTTTTCACAACGTCTCCGTTCCTCCTAATCAACAGGACGAGAAGGCCAAGCAGCGCATTGAGGACGAGGTCAAGCGCGCCGATGAGTGCCGCGCCACGAGCGTGGTGGCCAGCAGCGCCGCCATGGTCCGCAAGCTGCACCGTAGGAGGTTTGGGCAGGTGAGGGGTCGGGGGTTGGAGGATGAGGGGTAGGGGGTTGTCAGGGTTGAGGAGCTCAGCATGGGAGGGGCCGGGGAGCAGGGACTGCTCGGCAACAGACGGGGGCCAATCCTGCATGTGTTCAAGGTGCACGTCCCTACTTGATTGGCCGTCCAGATGCTGCCTATTAACCCTGGTGCATTCACTGCACCTCCACTCCTATCTATTCAGGTGTTTGAGTTCATGGACAAGGAGGGCTGCGGCACCCTGGACATGGCCTCCGTTGCTGAGGAGCCCCCAGAGTGCCTGGAGGAGCTGGACGATGACGTGAGGACCTTGTGTGAATCCCCATTAGGAAAAAGGTCTCGATCAGGGCCCCTTGACGGGATTTAAGGCTGTGACCTCCGAAACTCGGAGTCCCCACAGCCACCTGCCGGGCAGCTGCCCCGCCTCCAGTGGTGCTAGATCCCGGCAGGCTCTCGCGTATATGGCCCCAGGGCTTTGCCCAGGGCTCTCCAGGCTCCAGCCGTTACAAACCTGGGGGAAGGGGAAACAAAGCATTATCTTGTGTTGTGGTAATTGCAGCAAGCGGTTTTGGGGGGAGCTAACTCGTCGGTTGCGGGGCTGAGTGCCCGCCACCCCAAGCTGTCCTCTTTCAAACCTTCACTGCTTTCATGAGGGCGGTGTCACCCAGAGTCTCTCACGGTCGCTCACTCACCTTGCCCTCGACAAACCCCGCCTCCAGGTGCGCGCTGACCTGGAGGTGGCGTCCCGCCTGGCGTGCAGGGGCTTCACCGTGGCCAGCATCAAGGGCCCCGAGGGCTCCCGCGCCACCACCCCGCGCTCCATAGACCCCTCAGAGGTGAGGCGACATCCTCCGGTGCTGCCTCCACGCATATCAGGGACAATCCCAGACCTTGCAGTATTCTCTGCATTGTCAACCGCCAATTTTGCCGTGCTATTGCCACTGTCCCACATGGCCAATGGTGCAGCCGCTGCGGCCCCCTTGTCCCATCCCTCCCTCTTGACCGACCGCTACCGGTGATCAAACCCACCTGGTTTCATCCCCGTGCTTTTGAATGACTCACTGCGATGTACCCGTGCGGCTGCCTGGATTCCCAGGTCCCCCTGGACGTCTTCTGCGCCCTGATGGAGGAGGCCATCGCAGCCCGCCCCCGCCCGCGCGCCTACCTCACCCCGAGCGCCCCCCAGAAGTACGTACCAGGAGACTCCTTCGCGCCCGTCATCGACGAGCGCTCCAAGCAGCTGGCAGCGAAGCTGAGACCCAAGGTGAGATCTTGCAGGTGCCCGGCAGCTACCTTGCAGCTGCCGCTGTAAGTCTCCATGCTAGCGCTCGACCTCCTGTGGGATGCAGCTCTCCCAAAGATCCCTGCCAGCAACCAGCCCAACATCCTGCTGCATCGTAGCCGTTTCAAGGGCACATATACCATCCAGCATTCTGTCCACATTCCCAACACGACGCCTCATAGTCCCGCCCCACCCACCCCACGCC